TCATTGGAGAATCAACTTCTGATTTTTCATGGGCTGGTTGTCTGGCTAAGTAGTTTTGGAAAGTGGATCTGGGAGGATCCAACTGTTCCTTTATATAGCTTTCACCAAGCCCCTGTTATAGTCCTATGGCTTTTCCTCCTCTTGGATAATGCCTGGTCTCCAAATGCTAAGCCTTTCTAGGAACCTACCTAGTAGATTTGCCTTTTGTTCTGCAGGCCCTGGGCTGATGCTTAATCTACTTGGCTAAGTCTGTCACTGCAACCCCACCTGGTATTTGGATTCTGTAGGAATGAGATCTTCCACAACTGTCAAATTTTCTTATCTATGGTTCCCTTCTATGTTATTTTCTTTGTGGATTTATGTATTTTTATTCATTCACTGTGACTTTATTCCATTTAAGGATGGAAGAGTTTTTTTTTAAGTAAATGTAAACCATCTCAATTTAATTGGAGAGATATTGCTTTTGTAATGGAAAAATCTGAAATAATGACAGGAAAATACTAACTCTACTCATTATAAATAACAGAAATCTACCTAAGTAAGGCAAGGTGGTGGCCAATGTACATGATTTATCTGATCTTCTACTCACTCTCCTCCTCCTAATATCAGCGAAGGCTTCCGAGAGTTGGGTAGGTGCTTATGCTATTCTTGGAATATTGAAGTTTATTTCCACAAATATTTATTGATGAGAAAAATCACATCATTGAAATCTTTTTCCAGAATTGTTTTCTGAAAATTGGCACAAGAAGTACAAGCAGAAATTAATGTTTTAGCTTTTTATTGCTTTGTTCCTCAGTTATTTCTCCAAGCAAAACTGTAAACATGAAAAATTGACTTTTTTGGTAAAGAAACAGATATAAAGTTATCATTTGGATTATATTATACAACCTCAAACATATTTCCTAAATGTTATTTATGCTTTTACTGTGCCTTGGTTCTATTAATTCTTTTGTTTTATAAGGTTAATTTTTTCACCTTGTACCCAACAGTGAGCCAGAGCTGTTTATTCCTGATTCATCCTTCCTCCCCCCACCTATATTGCTATGAAAATATAAAGTTTCCCCTATCACTGATCTTTCTGAGACTCCATCCTAAGGAAAAATCCACATTTAAAAAAACTTTAGGCATTAAGATATTCACACGAGTTTTATTAATAACAGCAAGAAATTGGAAAAACCCTTGTGCCGTGCCGCCTCTCCCCACCCCGCTCTCCCCACATACAACTTCCCCCTGTCAGGTATTCTTAACTGCGCAAGGAGGGACTGGCTTTAGACAGGAGCATGGAAAGTTCATCTTTCCTGAAGGAGGAAGGCAGAGTGTATGGGTCCAGATGGTTGGAGGTGGGCAGATGAGGTAGTGGGAGTTTGTGGAAATCCTCTTCTGAATGCTCCAATTCTGTCAGGAAAGTGAGGAGAAGGGTCATCTGCTGAGAGTGAGGATGGGGGCAGAGGTGTTAGAATATGAGGGGAACGTGAGAACTCATCGTCGCGGGGAGTGGGAGGGCTAATGTGCTGGGAGCTGCTCGGCACCCTCGAGGGCCCCCTGGAGGCGAGGGGCGTGAATTTAAAGCTGACAAGTCAGCATGGTTGGGTGTTTCCAGTCACTTCCAGCTGCACCGAGTTTGTAGTACGGCAAACATTAGAAATAACCAAATTTGGAGTTTAGCCAGGCAAATGTGATGAAGTGAGAGATACAGGAAATGATATGGACACAGAAGTTACTAAGGATTGACTATGGAATGCAGGCTGGGTAAGGAGGGGAGGGGCCGTGGTGGTGAAAAGACGGAGGGATCACTGGATTATAGTGGGGTCAGAGGATTTTTTTGGATCTGGGGCTCTAGAAGGAGATAGCAGAGATTTAGGGGAGACGGTGGCATGGGGTTTGTATCAAGGGAGAGTTGCAATAATTTGTTATGACAAGGTCTAGGGTATCACCACGGAGTGAGAACTTGAGGTGGGGTGGAGGACATCACCGAAGTAGAGGCATTTAGGGAGATGGGTAGCCAGGACACATGAAGTTTTGCTTTCTTGAAAATTAAAATCACCAGAAATTAAGACAGAAGTAATGCTGGTGAGAATGATGGTTGAGCTAAATCTCACGAGGAATAGCTACAATGAGGGGTAGAGGCTGATGCAGTCCAATGATGACCTATGACTCAAACCTGGGTGTTTTGGGAGGAGTGAGGGAGAATGTCTGAAACTGGCAATGAAGAGCACAGGGTACCTCAGCTCACCTTCAAGCCCAGAAGCCTGGGGGTGGGCGGGGGAGATGCAGCCCCTACTGGACTGGGAGCAGTGCCCTCGGGGTAAAGCCAGGTTTTCCTTAGAGTGAGAAAGTGATAGGGCGGCTTAGAGAAGAGGCTGGGACATAGAGGATTTTGCTAATGAAGGACCATGGATTTGAAATAGCACAGTAGGTGGTTTGGGGAGCCCGAAAGGAGCGGGACAGAACTTTATGGAATAGAACTGGGTTTTGCAGAGCCATACACGGGTGAGAAGATGGGAAATGAAGAGTAACCTGGGAGTCTGAGGTGGTGACTGATACAAACTGGATAAAAGCCATAATGAGATTGGTTCAGAGAGACTGAAGGCAGATATTAACTAATTTTAAACTTTATTGAGCTCTTGGACATATAAAAATTATATATTTAAAATGTCCAATTTGGTTTTCTTCCAGCTATACTGAGCTACAGCTGACATACAATATTATATAAATTTAAAGTGGACATGTTAATTTGATACACTTATATATTGCCAATAATTATCACCATAGTGATGGCTAACACCTCCCTCAGGTGAATCTTTGCCATTTCTTTTTTATAGTGAGAACATTTAAGATATACTCCTAGCAGCTTTCGAGTAGGTGATACAGTATTGTTCATTATAGTTACCATGTTGTACATTAGACCCCCAGAACTTATCTGCCTTATTATTGGACATTTGTACCCTTTGACCAACATCTCCCCATTTCCCCCAAGCTAGATGTTTTGAAATGGTAAACATTATGAAAAGATCACCACGATCAAGCTAAATAACTTACTCATCCCCTCTGCATAGTTAATATGTGTGGTTAGAAGGCTTATTTAAGATCAATCCTCTCAACAAATTTCAAGTAAATAATACAGTTTTGTTAACTGTGGTCACCATGCTGTACATCAGCTCTACAGAACTTATTCATTTTGTGTAAAAGAAGCTTTGTACTCTTTGATTACCATCTTCTCATTTTCCTCCCTGCTTCAAGAGTGTGGGGCTCCCCCTCATACCCTATTAATGGTGTTGGGAATGTTTGGGGAAGTTTGGACTTAATTCAAGCATGCAGGACCCCATTGACATCCCAAGGAGAGTGTTCCATCTCCCCTTATATCCCTGATGAGGCTCCTGGCACATACTAAGCACTCCAACAGATGTCGGCTGCTCTGAAGTAGTAGGGTTCAGAAAAAATGGCCATGGTGCTTAGGAAAGTTGTTGCTCATAGAAATAGTTATTTAAAATTCATCAGCATATGGGTAGTGGCCAAAAGGTTGGTGGTGAGTAAGATTTCCCAGGATGATGATATAGAGTATGAATTTTTAAAGGATGCTGTGGGGCTCTGGGCAGGAGAGGGATGAACATCAAAGACAGACACTGAGGGGGATGGAGTCATGACCTCGCAGCTGGAGGTAGGGGTCGTCCACAGAGGAGAGGAGTGGTCTTAGGCACATGTCATTGAGAAGTCTAGTGAAGAAGAGGCTGGACAGAGGCTTCTGGGTCTGGTCATCTTGAGGGTCATTGGTGATCCAATGTAAGGGAAGCTTCTTGGAGTCCTGGGGCACAGCCAGTGGCCAAGGAACTAGGGACTGATCAGGCATTGAGGGAGGAGATGTGTGATGCAGATGATGATATCAAAGGTTTGCCTTTGCGATGCAGGGCAGTGGAGAGCACAAAATTTGAGTAAATTTTAAGCATATTTATGTGCTGATAAGGAGAGAATAAGAAGGTACAAAAATAACGATAGATGGAACAACCTCAAAGAGAAGATGAAGGAATAGGATCGAGGTGGTAGATAGTAGATAGTAGGAACAACTCATATTTACTGAGCACCTTCTTTGTGCCAGGGATTATACAATTATTTTCATATGCATATCATTTAAACCTGAGCCCTCTACTAAAAGAGTTTATCCTGTTTAGAGATGAGAAAATTGACTTTGGCTCAGAGAGTTTAAGCAACTTACTGAAAACCACACAGCTAGTGAGGGATTCAAAAAGCAAGTCTGACACCCAGTTTCCTTCTTTTTCTACCACATCCTACTGCCACTACCTCCTCTTTGAGATGAACGAGATAGAGGTAAGATAGGTGGAGCTGGAGATATGTTCATAGGAGGGGGGCAAAGTTGAAGAAATTTACACTTGATGGCCTGTTTTGTCCTCTGTTTAATCTAGATATCCATTCATTAGGATCCTCTCTGTCCTTCTAAACTGGGATAAAATTGCCTCGGTATCCTCCCAAACCCTGTGAACGCTGTACAGCATTTCCACATGTTTCTACAGATTCCTGAGGCTGGCATTTTCCCCGGCCCCTCTAGGTTTCAGTGAATTTCACTGAGCTGGTTCGCTTGCGGATCCTCTTGCATCCTGTGGGCACTCTGACGTGTAAGCTTCAAACTCTACAAAACGGCACTCTCACAAGGCCCTTGTGTTTGTGGTAGACTTTGCAAGGGCTTTTGATGGGCAGCAAAGGAGTGGTGTTCATTCCAGCAACACAAACAGCTTCCAGTTGAACGTAACTCACTCTTGTTCTTACAAGCCTGTTAGTTTTCCCCACTGGGATTTTTTCCCACCGGTGTCAGCCGCCTTCGGCCAACTTGTCAACTCCTCCTTTTCCACTCCTTTTATCTCTCCTTTTTACTCCATTACCTTTGGGAATGCGAAAATTGTCTCATTCTATTATGCCAAGCAACTGTCCCCAAGCCTTTGTCCCCTCTGCTGTTCTGAGCCTTTCTTTCTGATCCAGGTTCATCAAGGCACCCTGCAGATTACCAGCGTTTTCCTTGTAACAAGATCTGGCTGCCTAGTATTGATTTTCCTGCTGTCCTGTGTGCAAACAGAAGTAAGGCCACTTGTTGAGGTGGGGAGCTGGGCGCACAGTGGGAGTGAGAGAGGGCTCAGGAAAGGAGTGTGTCAGGGAGCCTCTGCAGGGAGAGCAGTGCTTTGGGAGGACAGAGAACTCAGCCAACGCAGAGATCTTTGGATTTCTCTCTAGCAATCAGCTGTCCAAGCAGAAAAAAGGGTGGAGATGGCTGGAGGGGTTGGGGCTAGAAATGTGCTGGGAGATGGCAGGATGAAGTCAAAGATACACAGCTGCATGAACTGCTGATGGACAGGTGCAGCTAAGATGGGCTGTGGGTCTGGGCAAGCAGCCGGTGGGACTGGGAAAAGGAGAAGGAAGAACTGAGGGCTCAACAGGATAGAGAGGAACAGCAAGATGGGGCGAAGGTTGTGGTCAGAGGCCGTTCTGGAGTTCAGACTCTGATGCTGGGCAGCCCTCCAGGCACTCTGGGACCTAGGACCCGAATGCCCATGGTGGTGGTGCTCCCTCTGAGCAGCAGGCTGCTGACTCCCTGCTCTCCTGTTTTCTCCCTGAAAGACATTGACTGCCAAGGCTGAAGGGGCAACCAGAGGCCCACCCTGCAGCTTCACAGATAGGAGACGAGAGAGGCCAGCTAGGAAACCCAATCCCCCACCACCCCCGTGGGTTCAGCAGGGCCCCTGCTGCCCAGACCTGCAGGGCCAGTCCAGTCGAGGGAGGCGCCCAGCTGCACAGGGACCACGGTTTGTCTCCCTCCGGCTGCTGTCCCTAGCATCCCACTCTGTCTTGCCTGCTGCTGCACATATGGGGGCTGGGGGACAGGGCCTTTGTTTTCCCTAGACTTGAGATCAAATGCCCCTCTAGCCCTGAAATTCTCTCCAATTTACACTTGCTCAGTTTTATCACTTGTGGTCCTAATGCTTATAAGTTGTTTTCCTCTCCTTCCTCCCCTCCCACGGTCTCCCCACATCTGTGTGTCATTTTTTTTCTTCGCTTATTGCTCTTTCAATCAAATGTTCCCTCTGTTTACGCTATTTTGGAGAAGAGCAGAGAAGGCCTGTCTCTCTCAGTGCTCATTAAAGGTGAGCTGTTGATGAGGAAATGTTGCACATGCCACAGGTGAGCCATCTGTCTTTGTGCATCCTGAGGAAGCGTCTTTTCTGCCAGCTTTTTCACTCCGTAGCGTCTGGACCTTGGTCACACCGCTAATAGCTTGGTAGTGTACTATGGTGCCTACGGCACAGTTAGGGCCACTTTAAAGTTATAACACATGTCCTTAGTCACGGACCATATGGAGGCAAGGTGGGTGGTACCATTAGCTGTAAAGCTTGAGGCAGATCTGAAGTTGCCTTGCCTAGAAGAGATTCCCAAATCAGAGAAATGTTTTGATAAAACATACTGTAACAGATTGTAAGCTGCTTCACCATCCAACAAGAGCCTCTGTGTACTCAGTTTTATTCCCTCCCTCTACGCTCCCAAGCACGACAGTCACAGGCGGAAGCTCCTGACCCCACTGCCCGACCCTCCACAAATTTGTCTTATCCCATAACGGCCACACTTGACCATGGGCTTCCCCATAACCAGGAGAGACCCCTGTCAGCCCAGTGTTCAGGGGACTAGTTGGGAAAACAGTGACCATTTCCCAGCAGTATTTCACCAGGAATCCATATATTTCAGGTGAACTCACAAAGAAATTACAAGAGACTTAGGCAAGCTTGTTATCATCCAATGAACTGTAAACAGTCCTTGATTTGGGGGGCATTCTGATCATCTTCCATGTGATGTCATCAGCTCATTAGGTAAACTTGCTTTTCTATCATACAGACCAAAATAGACTATGATTGTAAGCAGCCGACAGGCAGGGTCCATGTCTCTTCTTATGGCACCTAACGTGTATTTGGCAGGAAGGAAGCCCTCATGGCGGAAAAGAGCTGAATTCAGAGCTGGAAGGAGCCTGCAAGGTCACCCACAAGGTCATCTAGTTCAGCATTTTCAAAAATGGTCCTCTTAGAGCTCAGTGCAATAACGGTTAGGAAGTTGAGGGCAGGGGAAAAGGAATCTGGGAAGAGAGGGGCTGTTTCATGGCCAAATTAGCTTGGAAAATAATGTGATAAACACAGCTGGTTACTACACGTTATACTAAGTCTTTAAAGTGCTTCTGAACCTTGTGAATCTCCAAAATAAGGGATAAAAGTATAATTGTATATTCCAGGGCTGCGTATCAGTTTGGGAAAGGCTGATCCAGCCCAACCTTTTCATTTTGTACATGAAGAAAATGAGGCCAGAAGACAAAATGACATGCTCAGAAACATTGACTTATTAATTGCACATCTGGGATTAAAATCTCAACCTCTCCTTATTGTGCATTTTCTACAGAGGGTCACCATGCAGCCGCCTGCCTCCAGGTAATAGGGAAAGAACCAAGTGAACAAGCTAGTGCATGAATCTGATGCCAGGTGTTTTGTTTCCAGCTTAACATTTCAAAGATCCATGCTCTGTGACTGTCGAGAATCACCCCAAACCTCCCCAGGCCCTTAGAGGAAGAACACATTTTCCCTCATGAACTATGTGGTTTCCAAATTTCTGATCTGTATGAAGAACTGTCATACCTGGCTTTATATTTTATTCATGTTAGTCCAAGTCATGACTTTACCAAAACAAGCAAACAAAAAAAGGCAAATGATCTTTACAGAAAGAACCTTTATGGACAAATGCTGAAGGCCCTTTGCTGAAACTAGATTAAAAAATAAAATGGTAAGAAGAGCTAACTGTGCATGGAACACTAGACAGAGGTATGCATGTGATGGAGTGGGGGTGTCTTCTGAATCATTTCCCTAAATTTAGCAATGCAGCTTAAAAAAAAGACTTGAAGTTCTGCTTCTCAGAAATCCTGTTATTTCTTCACATAGGTCTTACGTAAGTCTGTGCCACAGGCCTGCAGAATAATTAGATGCAAAGGGCACAGCCCTGTTTCGAAAGAACCACCAAGAGAAATCCAACAGACAATTTGAGAGGATAAGAAACTCAGGAAAATCCCCTTTCCCTCCTCTGTCCACGCAGCTATGAGTGGTGCCCTCTATTGGAAGTGATGTCTGTTAAGGGCTTCCCACCCGAGGGGGTGGGGTAGTTCCCAGATTTATTCATCTCTCCCTTCTGAACAGACCTGCCAGTGTTGGGCTGTCTTTTCCAAAAGTCTTCATTATTGCTTTTAAATTCCTAAGGGTGCGCATGCATCTGCCACCCTCATTCTCTTGGCATGTACCTCTCCCCTCCCATTTCCCTTTCTCCAGCCTCACCCCATGAGGGGTTCCAGAAAGACTCAGGCCTCCAGAATTTCTAGGAATCCTTTTTTTTTTTTTTAGATGTCTCTTTCAGCTTATATCTAGTAGTTGCTTATATGGTTTCTCTGAATTTTTTTCTTAGCGAGGGGTACAGAATGATGAAAGTCTGATGGTCAAGGCAGGACTGTATTGTCTTATGCAGGTGATGTCATTGGCAGAAGGTCACCTGTAAGTTGGAACAAGTGCCGTGATGTTTTCAGCTCCCTTCTGCCTGACTCTCCACCTGCCACGTTTGAGGTCTGCTTCGAGCACCAGTGAGGAGGGTGAAAGCTGTCCTGGGCAAGCTCCAGTCTCTCCAGAGCCCCTTCAGGTGCCCTCTGCCTGCCTGCACGCTTGTTCAGGCCATGTCTCCCACATGAGCCTCTTTTCCCTACCTCCCCATAAAAACACCTCTCTACTCATCTGCAAGTCCATTGAATCCGTTTGTTTCCCCACCGAGCTGCTAGAGATAGTCACAAATCCCTGCTAGCTGGTGCTCTGGGAAAGAGGTGATAAGCAAATTCACAACAACCTATAAGTTACTGATAATGACTTCATATATTACTGGCCTTGTATACTTCATGTTTTAAGAGGAGAGAGTTCATTGATCCATAAAGTTACTGGAATGCCTGCCATGTACCAGGCTTCACCTAGAGATCAATTCAGGCACAGTTCCTGCTTATACTCTAGTGGGACAGACAGACTATAGGCAAGGAAACACACCACTGAGACCATTTGTGATAGTGCTGAGTTCTATAAAGAAGATGAAGTGACACGATAATTCGGTGACCTGGCAGGAGCAGGGAATGCTTCATTGAGGAAATAACATTAGAGTCTTCAAATGAAGAGAAGGAACAAGATCTGGGAAAGGGCGTTCCAGTCAAAGGCAAGAGCAAGTGTAGTGTTGCTGAGGTGGGAACACCTTGGACAGGAGTGGGAAGAAGGCCAGTGCGGCTGTGCTGGGCAGAGCAATAGGGAGAAAGGAGGAGATAAGTCTGGAGAGGTAAGCTGGGGTCAGCTCACAGAGCGCTTTGTAAGCATAGTATGTCAAATTTTATGTAATAGTGATGGATGCCTTTGGAAGGTTTTAAGATGGGGAATTGACATGATCTAATTGTCTTAAAAGGCCAGACCCTACATAACAGAATGACCATACTTACTGAGGAACTTTCCGGACCGTGGAGGAAGAACTAAGATACAGTGGGTAAGAAGTGGATTCAGCAAGTCCAGACCACAGTTCTCACTCTGCCCCAGACAGCTGACCAAGCTACTTTACCTCACCACCTTCAGGTTTCTCACACAGGAAATGATGACATTGCACCAACTAAGTTAGCTGGTTGTTGGACCAGAAGTCAGTGCTCCTAGCTTTTCATGTAATAACTCACATAGAAAATGATCATTTGGCAGCACACCTGGAAATAAGTGAGGCTCCTCAAGGCTTCCCCAGGGGCAGGCTCACCACACACAGGGAGGGAATTTCTAGACTTGATGGGGTCTTAAAGGTCCCTTTCAGTCATATTGTTTTAAGATTTCATGGCATTTCCTCATGATGCCCCTCAATCCACACCATACGGGCAATTGTCTATTCTAACTAAAGTATGGGTAGTGCCAGTCTAGGCGATAATGATCAGTGGGGCCTGTTATTTCCTGTTTCCCAAGCATCAAGGCTCATCCTAAATCATCAGGCATTGTCTTCATATGCTTTCTGCTGCCCACCATGCAAATTTCCCAGGTAGGCTGGGTCTCAAGCCCTCCTTCTCTGCCACTTGGGTAGTCAGTTCCTTCCCAACGTAGCCCGCCCAGCTCATACTCGGTGTTGCTGCAGAATGTTCTAGCTTTTTCGTTGGTAAATTTAGATTACAAGCGAAGTGAAAAGATAACCTACCATAATGGCTTATTGAGGGGAAGTGTTTATCCTTTCCTTTCCTCTTTTCCATACTCCAAAAGAAATTTCTCATAGAATAAAAAGAACAATAGCCATAGTCTGGTAAAATAGATAAAACATGGTGACTGGAGGTATCTGCACCAAGATCACTACTGAAATAAAAGGCAAATATATGAAAATAGCCAGTTTTGCCCTCTACCCCTAAGACACGCTGTTGGACTCACACAGTCCATAATGCAGATGTGTTTGAATATACCCATCCTCATTTTCCTGTGTCCTTTGACACCTGGACTCATGTGTACAAACTGATTGAATTCTCCATCACTTACATTTATTCTCCCTAATATCCCTTCTCTAACCCCCTCATTTTTTACCTCTCCTAAATTCACCTTTGCTCTGTGCCCATCATGACCTCAGTCTGTGGATCTCCCTAATGCCATTGGCCCATCGCCCCTACTCTCAACCTCATTAATTTCCCTTCACACTGGGTACCATGTGTTCACCAGGATCCCTTGTAACCTTGACCTACTTTATCAGTTCTCAACCATAGTAACTCCCTGAACTCTCCATCACCAGAGATGTAAAACCCAGATAACTGGGAATTGATTGTGAAAGGATCAATCCTGTGGCCTTGTCTGGGTCACACTGAGTACCACTTTACTGGTCACAGGCTCCTCCATAAGTGTTCATACCTTTGCAGAAGGCTTTTGTTTGTGTTGTTTCATGGAAGTGGTCCAAATGGGGGGAAAAGGGTAATAAGAGTTGAAGAAATAAAACAATGAGACCATCAAACTCTTATATAACTTTGTTCACTTAATAAGTTAGTCTTTTTCCTAGATTTCATTTTCCTCCTCCTTTAACTTACTATAGTCATCCTCTCCTAGGCCTGACTTGAGCTAACAGTTAAATATTTCTTCTCTCCTGTCATGGAATATGATCTTTGTTTACATGCCTTCTCCCTTTCTTGATTATGGGGTTTCCTCAACATTAAAAGTATTTCATTTCACTGTCTTCTTACTTACCTAAGTTCTGAAAAGAAGTCCAATATAATTCTTATCCTGCTTCTTCTATAAGTAAGATATTTTTTACTCCTTCTGGCTTCTTTTAAGACTTTCTCTTTGTCTTCGATTTTCTGCAGTTTGACTATAATATTCCTAGCTATAGATTTTTGGTATCGACCCTGCTTGCTGTTTGCTGAGCTGCTTGGACCTGTGGTTTGGTGTCTGGCATTAATTTGGGGAAATTCTCAGCCATTTTTACTTCAATTATTTTTTCTGTTCCTTTCTTCTGGTGTTTGTATTATGTGTACATTCTAAGTTTTATAATCGTCCCACAGACCTTCAAAATCCAGGTCCATCCTTTTTTTCATTCTTTTTCTCTGCCTTTCAGTTTGGGACATTTCTATTAAAACTTGAATAAATGTTTAAACTTACTGGTCCTCTCTTTGGCCATGTCCAGTCTACTGGTCTCACCAAAGGCATCCTGCATTTCTTTTATAGTGTTTCTTATTTCTAGCACTTCCTTTTGATCATTTCTTCGAGTGTCCATCTCTTTGCTTACATTGTCCATCTGTCCTTGTAAGTTATTTACTTTTCCCATTTGAGCCCTGAACATATGAATCATTGTTATTTAAAATTCCCAGTCTGATAATTCCAAATTCTCTGCCATATCCAAGTCTGGATTTGGCACTTGCTTTATTTCTTCATGTCAGATGTATGGGAATTTTTCTTCAGTCTTTGTCCTGAAAACTTGGTGGGGCTGCTGGAAATAAAATTCGTGAAAGTGTGGGGATCCTCCTCAAAGTGAGGCCCTCAGGAGTCTTATCTTTCTGCGAGTCCATATTCAGTTTCCAACAATTAGTCAATTACTCTTAAATGTTCTTAGTTGGTTCTTGAAGCAGCTTTTGTCCCAGGCAAGTTGTGATTGTTTCTATTCACCTGTCTCTTCAGTTTTTGGAGTGGCAGTTTGCCCTGTGACCTCTATTCTCCTATTGGTCTAAAAAGAGTGATTTTCAGTTCATTTTTTTTCTTGTTATGAGGACAGGAGTGATAACTTCAAAGCTCTATTTATGTTAGACTGGCCATGGTGGGCTACTTACTCATCTTTGAAGTCCTTTATAGTTACACAGCACCTAAAAGATAGCAAATATTCAACAAATATTTTCTAGTTCAAAGTCTAAAAAACACAAAAGAATGAAACACTACATTAGGGGCCCATTCACCTAGAGATACAAGACTTGTTTCCAGTTATCTTGTGAGAGAAGTTTTAATCCGTGATCTTGAACTGGGATTATGTTAGTAGTTTTGTTTGGCTTTGTTTTAATTCCTGGTAGGAATGAAGTACTTGCCCAAACCTTCTGAGCCATAATCAGATCCCAGCCTCCCAAATTTCTCCTCACTTACCATGTCTTCACTAGGTACCAGATTTTGGGTCCTTATTGTCCCTACCCCACCGAATTCTCAGATTTTCTAAATCCAAACTTGGGCGGTTGGGGGAAAGGCCTTGTATCCTGCTGCCATTCACTATGAGCTTCCTGTTCCTTTCTCTCAATTTTAACATTTATTCCTATCTTCCTTTAACCAGGTAACATTTATTGAGCAGGTTAATAACAGTAGACACTATGCTAAATGCTTTTTTAGGATGATCTTATTGGCTCCTTAGAGCAACCCATGAGGTGGAAGCAATTTCTCCTTTTGGAAACTATGGAATTCTGGCTTAAAGATGACAATTTGCCAAATTACATAGATAGTAGGTGGCAGAACTGGGAACTTTTCAGTCTCTTATTTGTTCAATCTCAGTGCATCCATCCTATAAACAAATCCTGAGCACCTACATGTTATAGGTACAGAGCCAGGTGCCTTGCTGGATACAAAGATAAATTACATGGTCTGGCTCTCAAGAGTTATAATCTCCTATTTGGAGGAGTGGGTGGAAGAGGATGGGGAGCTGGCAAAAAAGAAGAATAGAAAGGGTAGGAGGAAAGAAAGGCCATTTATCCATAGATATCTATACAGTGCTTCTACTGCAAACAACTTGTTTCCCCGCTTCAGGAATAAACAAATCTGACTTAGCCCTTTGGCTCTTGTGCAAACCCAATTTAGAATGTCAGGAAGGTCTTCAAACGATGCTAATAAAAATAGGCCTCCCCCCAAAATATGCTTCCCAGTGTAGTCAAAGACAAAAAGACCAGAGCTAGGAGAGGATATATTTGTGCACTAACACCAGTGCCACCACCTCCTACCAGGCAGTGACCCACTCTGGAAAAGTAGCTCCTACAACTGCTATGGATGCATCCTGCCTGGACCTATAGCTTGGGATGGAGCAGACCAGCAAGAGAGAATTAAAGCATCCTTGCTTATGCGCTCAGTCCAGGAATTAGTATCACATACTCTATTAGTATGATATACACCATAGCAGCATACACTCTGTGTTCTACCTGATCTTAGCTTTTTAAAGCTTCGTAAATGTCCCATCCTGACTTGTAATGATCTAGGTTTGGAAACCATCTAGAGAGCTGAAG